TACCCTAAGGCTCCAAATAGGGGTGGGGCTTTCAAGATGCAGCATTCCGAAAGGCCATGGGGCCTGGAGGGCCCCGAGGGGGCATGAGAGGCTCGAGGGACCCATGTGAGGGTTCTGGAAGTGCAAGAATATGAACAATGGGCATGGGTCAAGCAAAACATGTGAAGTGCATAAGGATAGAGACTTGACATCTGAAGATCTGTTATGGATAGAGATCTCTTTCCTGCTATGCGGCGTGCTGCGCTGCACGTCTGAGTGACTCGGCCAGCTTGGTGAATCGAAACCTCATGACAGTCAAATAGCGTTCGATGGTTCGAGTTGTCACGGTCGATCTGTGGCACGTCCTCAGAGTGTGCATGATATTTTGGGAATGTTGTGGGGGGCTTTCAACAACTTTCATGCAAAATAGTTACAACAACACTATTCGAAAAATATGATTGTGCAGGCAAAAAACCGGCTCATCCTACCGATAGTCCCCACAAAGGATTCAGCTGCAAGCAAGTGGTAAGATCCTGGATTTATCAAAGTAGTCAGCGCATCATCGAGCGAATGCTGTAGATGGTGGTGTTTCGGTAACACCGACCAGGAAGTTCGGTTCAGGGCTCTGCCTGTTGCCACGGAGCTTCGCTTGCGAAGGTGGCTGTAACTAAGTAGGTGCAACATACCATCCCGGTGCATGAGCTGGGCTTCTGCAGGCGTCAGAACAATGCCACATGTATCAAAATGCCGAAGCATGGCACAATACGACCACATTGTTGTGGCAACCAGCTTGTCAAGTTCAGTGGAGGCCCCACCCAAACGTTCCACTCTAGCAACACAGAGACCAGCTAACCAGAAAGATATCCGCTTCCCATTTATGGCTTTGCTTGCAAGGCAGGGAAACATGCCCCTGTGCTTGCGATTGAGCCTCGATGGGGTAAACCGCGGCTGCGTGGCCTGAAGGTGTTCATCTTTCAGCCATTGCTTAAAGCTAGCATACGCTGCGCGCAATGCAACTCCAAACGCAGATTCGTAGAGGCCTCCCGGGAAGCGACAGAACTCGCTAGCTTCCACAAGATATGTGAGCACACTTCCGTTAAGAACCTTGGAGGTTCCTAACAACTGTGAATGCGCTGTATCGTGTAGGAACCGCGAAATGTCCACCCCAAAAAGCGATGGTAGAGGAAGCTCATCCAAAGGTTTGGATTCCATGAACTCCGCATTCGAGATCCTGCCAATTGTCCTGTGCAAGGAATTAGCGCGAAAATCGAACATGCTCCATCCAATATCATCAGCCCTTTTGCTGGCTTTGCACCTGCTGCAAAATTCATCGGAGATGCGCTGGTAGTGATGGATTTTGTACTTTTCCTTAGAATAACAATTGTGCAATCGTTCCAACTTCACATACGGCAATACATAGAGGGAGCAAAAGGAATTTGTAAACTTGTTTCGAACTACGCGGGTTTGAGAGTGTATGTTTGGTTTCAAATTTGGGTTTTAGCAGGGGTATATAGGGTATATAAGACGAAGCCCCAATCCTGATGAACACTATATAGCCTACATATAGGGGTATGTATATATATATAAAGGTAATCCTATAAACTCTATATACCCTTCAATTGGAAAACTAGGGATCCACAAAACTAAAAAACAAAACAAAAGGTGCCAACTATTTCTCTACATATAACCCGTGCAAAAATCAAAGCGTCAAGCAACGTTCAGCCACTTGAGGTCACCACGGACACCTGCAAGCATGAACCGAAAGCCTGCCGCTTCCCATGGATGCCCAGCAGCTGGGTCTGCCAGACGTTGTAGCATGGGCAACATGTGCTCAAGGATGTCGTTATAGGTGTGTGGGCAAGAGCAATACTCCGAATAAATTGTTGCCAGGAAAGTTTGAAACATGGCTTCGTTCTGGAACGAAAAATCACACCCCCATCCCACGACTGATACTGCTCCGGGATCGGAATTCCGATACGCTTGGACATCGTCGCCATACAAGTTTAATGGCAATAGGCCAGAAAATACTTCGGGGGGGATTGATGTGTCTTTGAACCAGCTGCAATTCTCTTTGGCATTCCGCCAGAATCGTTGAGCTCCTTCCCTGCCTCCATGACCCAGAAAAACGGATTCAAAGACGTCCTGTCCTTCATGCCATAGAGCAGTTGCCCAGGAAACAGGGTCAAGGATTGGCAAGTTCGCTAGGTAGATTTCCGATGTACTGGGATCAAGCATTCGCACACGAGCAGTGCTGATTTGGACTTTAACACTCTTGCTGTACTTCTTTATGGCCCGTTGCAAATCACGCTCAGCGTTCTGCGGGTGTCTGCCAGATGTAGCTAGCTTCGACAACTTGCCCACAAGATCATGCTTCGGAACCTGCCCACCAACGGAAGTACACCATGTCACGGCGCTGGCAGCTAGCGACTGTACCTGAGGACATTAATATGGAAAATATGGAATCCAAGATGGACTTCTCCTGAACATGGGACCTACGTGGTTTGGGATTATAGGGTTCGTATCAATGGGTTTTATAAAGGGTGTGACCCAAGGCTTCTGGAACTATGATTGGCCTTTTCTGGATGAGGTTTGAATGGATGTATGCTATATACTATAATACTAGGGATCCCACTTTATATGGTGCTTTGACAGTGTTAGTGTTAAGGCTAGAGCTGTATAGCGTGGGGGAAACATATACTATAGGGAAACCATAACAACAAAAACCACTATAGGCGACTTATGCATCAATTCGGGCAATTGCGTGAGATTCAAGAACCCCACTGAAAAAAAAGTTATGAAGCACAACTCAGGAGTCGTTGCTTGCACTGCTTTGCCCCGAAGCATAGTTGGTCACCAAACGTTCGCTGAACTCAGCGGGGTCCTCCCATTCATGGCACCCATATAGTCAAGTACAAGCATGTGATTTAGGTCAATCAGGCAAACTCTCCATGCATGATAATGCATGAACCATTCAAGAATCCTTGTCTTCAGCTATTCTTTGCTCCACCAACTGGGTCTCTGCAGTCACGAAGCGAAGACACGGTCGCTTCTGATCCCGAGGCACTTCATTGTCAGATCTTGGCGGCGCCGGTGTGGAAGCAGCCCGTTTCTTGGCATCAGCTTGGAGGATCTGTTGCATGCGTCCTGCGTTGCACAGCATACACAATCTGAAGCTTCCGTAGTCCTACTCCAGTATCGTTGTAAGGAAACGAATTTTCGGATGAGTGATGCAGTTCCCCCTCGGTCTTCCGCGGCAGTCGCAGCAGCCTTCTAAAGAATTATGCAAAGAAAGTTTGTAGTTCAAACTTCCGATCAGATCATCTCGCTGCACTCGACATCACTCAATCCTGCTATAGCTGCTACCTAGCATATGTACCCCCAAGATTGTGGGCTCGCTGAAACGTAAGGACTGCATGTCCAGTGTTCCTCAGCGCTGATCACCCAAACTGCCATTCATGGCAACCCCAAAAGTTGAGCTCAAGCGGAAGCGCTTCCACTGATGCTTCAACGAGGCTGGCTGCTTTGCTGCCGGCTCACTCATCCTCTTCCTCGTTGTCGTCATCTTCCCCATTGGCCTGCGGCGGTGACTTTGGGCTTTCGTGGGAATTGAATTTAAAGGTTTCTTAGGTCTCGTAAGGATGTAGGAAGGGCTTGCGTGGGACCCAAATGAAAGCACCTCCTAGGGTTCGTAGGGAGGTAGGGAAGGGCTTGCGGGGTTCCATGAAAAAGGTGGTATAGGCTTTGTTGGGAAGGGTTTGCGTGGGATTCAAATCAAGGCTTCTCATAGGGTTCATAGGGATGTAGGGAATGTCTTGCTTGGGTTTCAGTTCATGTGACAAAGGGTTCCCAAAGGCTCCGGGTTTGCATTGTGTACGCTCTCAGCCTCCTGGCACTGTGCTTAGTTTTGGTGGAAGGTGTGGTTGGGCCCATATAGGTTTCGGGATCCCTCTACTGGTTCATGGGTTATGAATGTTCTACTATATACTATATAGAAGCAACTAGAGGGTGCCTAAGGCTGTTGGACCCTCAAAAATGGGATCCCAAACCTTATAGCCCCCAAAGCCGAAATCTTCCCCCGGAAAGCCCCAAATAGTCCTAGGAGTTTTAGGGATCGATCTGTGGGGATTCGCAGACCAACACAAGCTACCATTGTACCCGTGTAGCATCAACC